TTGGTATGGATTTAAGGAAGAACGATGGGCGGAGATGAAGTGATGGTATAGGGAATCGAGAAGTTTAATGACATAGATTTTGATTACTAGAGTATGCAGATAGATGATCATCTCTATGAGAAGAAAGTTCACCTGCCGTTACTAGGAAATAAGTCGGAAAAGATGGACGAGGCGATACGAAATCTGTTGAATCGACGGGTTCTGGGGGTTATTCGATTGATCATATCGAAATTCGTTGCCCACAACGTCATCAATGAGAGGACGACTGCAGATCTCATGATATTTTTATCAGGTATGTATGAAAAACCATCAGCGAATAACAATGTGCGCCTGATGAAAAAAATTACTCAACTTGAAGATGACGGAAAGTGTGTAATGCTGCTCAACAACTGAATGATTTTAACCATATCACAAATCAGTTGTCGTCTGTTGAAATTGATTTTGATGATGAGATACGTGCGCTGATATTGTTGACATCATTGCCAAATAACTGAGAAGCCATGAGAATGTCAGTTAGCACTTCTACAGGTAAATCCAAACTGAAATATGATGATATTCGTAATTAGATTTTGGCTGAGGAGGTGCGCAATAAAGATTCTGGCGAGACCTCGGGTTCGAGTTCGACACTGACTGTTGATTACAGAGGGAGATCACAGGACAAAAACTCAAACAGAGAAAAATCAAAATCAAAGTCTGGTCAGTAAGTAACCTGTCGGAATTGTGGCAAGACTAACCACATAAAAAGAAACAGTAGGAAACCTAAGAAAAAAGTAAATGATAACACAAATGTGATAACTGAAGAAATACATGATACTTTATTGTTGGCAGTTCACAATTCTGTTGATCACTGGATATTGAATTCAGGGGCTTCCTTCCATACATCTTCCCACCAGGAGTTGATGCGAACTTATGTTGCAGGCGATTTTGGTAAGGTATGATTGACTGATGGAAAAGTTATGAGCCTGGTAGGGATGAGAGACGTTGATATTGTACTCCCTAACAAGAGCAAATGAACTTTGCAAAAGATCAGACAAGTTCTAGAGTTTGAAGAAAAATCTCATTTCTGTTGGACAACTCAATGAGGGTGGTCATTTAGTAGTGTTCTTAAATAGCACCTGGAAGGTTACCAAATGAGCATTACTACTGGCTCGGGAGATCATATCGAAATTCGTTGCCCACAACGTCATCAATGAGAGGACGACTGCAGATCTCATGATATTTTTATCAGGTATGTATGAAAAACCATCAGCGAATAACAATGTGCGCCTGATGAAAAAAATTACTCAACTTGAAGATGACGGAAAGTGTGTAATGCTGCTCAACAACTGAATGATTTTAACCATATCACAAATCAGTTGTCGTCTGTTGAAATTGATTTTGATGATGAGATACGTGTGCTGATATTGTTGACATCATTGTCAAATAACTGAGAAGCTATGAGAATGTCAGTTAGCACTTCTACAGGTAAATCCAAACTGAAATATGATGATATTCGTAATAAGATTTTGGCTGAGGAGGTAGATTCTGGGACCTCGGGTTCGAGTAGTTCGACACTGACTGTTGATTACAGAGGGAGATCACATGACAAAAACTCAAACAGAGAAAAATCAAAAATCAAAGTCTGGTCAATAAGTAACCTGTCGGAATTGTGGCAAGGCTAACCACATAAAAAGAAACAGTAGGAAACCTAAGAAAAAGGTAAATGATAACACAAATGTGATAATTGAAGAAATACATGATACTTTATTGTTGGCATTTCACAATTTTGTTGATCACTGGATATTGAATTCAGGGGCTTCCTTCCATACATCTTCCCACCAGGAGTTGATGCGAACTTATGTTGCAGGCGATTTTGGTAAGGTATGATTGACTGATGGAAAAGTTATGAGCCCGGTAGGGATGAGAGACGTTGATATTGTACTCCCTAACAAGAGCAAATGAACTTTGCAAAAGATCAGACAAGTTCTAGAGTTTGAAGAAAAATCTCATTTCTGTTGAACAGCTCAATGAGGGTGGTCATTTAGTAGTGTTCTTAGATAGCACCTGAAAGGTTACCAAATGAGCATTACTACTGGCTCGGGGTAAGAAAACTGACACAATATATATATGACTACAAGCTTACTCAGGAGTTGACACATGATTCAGAAGAGCATTTTAGGGAAACAGAAGAATGCCAGTTTCTTGAAAGGTGAAAGAGCGCGAAGGGGAGGAAAACTGGATCTTGTACACACAAATGTGTGGGGACCTTCTCCAGTGAAATCTCTTGGAGGCTCTAGTTATTGTAGAGAGGTAAGATTTGTTAATCTACCAGAGGTCACAATGCAGGACAGTGATGAAAGTGAAGAAGAGAGTGGGTCTAGGGCACCCATTCCTATTGTTCAACAGACAAATGTTGGAGAATCACAAAGCAAAGCTATGAAGAAATCTTACAAGGTGAAAATTTGAGCAAGTGGAAGCTTACAGAACTTCCACCAGAGAAGAAGACATTACAGAATAAGTGAGTGTACCGGGTGAAGTCTGTGTTTGATGACAGTAAGAGGTACAAGAATGGACTTGTTGAAAAGGACTTTCAGCTGAGGCAGGATATTACTCATGCAGTGGGAGTTGTAAGCAGATTCATGAGTAACACGAGAAAGAGCTTGGAGGTACAATGCTATGTTGACGCTAATATGTCGAATAAAAGTACTACTCTTGAGAAATTGAAGTTGTGCTCGATCACAATTGATCTTCCAGCTTGAAGACATGAGTCATAAGTTACAGAGGTGGAGGAAAGTGGAGGAAAATAAAGGATATCATGATTGAGGAAAAGATCGGTACTGTCAGCAGATGATGCAGCCAGTAGGTGGTGCAGTAAGTGTCTCAGTCTCCAAGTGAGAGAATTGTTAGGTGGAGTCTGTGACTTACCTACCTCACCTACCTTGTCAGCAGATGATGCAGCCAGTAGGTGGTGCAGTAGGTCTGTGACTTACCTACCTCACCTACCGCATCTCAACTACCTCTCTCCACCTAACATTCTTTAGATAGCCTCTTTTGGCCTGTCATAAGTGTTAAGCTAAGTCCTCTTGAGAGCTAAGAGAGAGAAATGAAAAGAGAAAGAGAAAGGCAATTTTCTTGTAAACGTCAAGGCACTCGATGGTGTAATTTCTCGAAGTACTAAAATCATCTGCACTCCGTGGACGTAGGCAAATTAGCCGAACCACGTAAATCTGTGTGTTATTTTCTGGTTTGCAATTTTTTGATCCGATTTTTTCACTTTATTGTCGTCGTTTTTTTCATAACAATATTTGCCATAAATCTACTTTTATGACTTTCTTTCTAAGCTTAATTCATTAAATCCATGTAATAATCAGATTTAATAAACTGACTTTTTGTTTAAAAAAAAACAAAAGGGAAGGATGGTTGGATTTAGCGAAATGTAGATTTAATTTTTTCGATTTTCTTGTTTGGTTGGACTTACATTAAATAGGGCAGTAAATACTTCTCGAATCCGGCTACCAAATACCCCCCAACTCACATGATATTACACTCATCTTAAAGCAAATCCAAATAAAATTAAATCCATTGTTTACAAAGTTTAGACAGAATATCCTCGTCTCATGTTTTTCCAAATAGACAGCACTTTGCTTAGTGAGAATTTAGAAATAAACAATGATTAAAAAAAAGTTCATTTACACGCAAAAAGCAAAAAAAAAAAACATGGAGTCCTCAAAAAGAAAGCAAATTTTATTTTAAAATAATATTAATAATTTTCCAGAAGGTTCTCAAGCCATCCCAACAAGCACGGTAGTAGAATGTTTTAAGGTTGTACCCATGCAACATCATCTAACAAAAATGAAATAAAACATTACTAACAGATCCAAAGGTAGTAAATGACATTTATTTGAAAGTAGTAGAGGTTGTTTCCAATAGACAACATATAATGACATTTGAGTTTGTAAAATTAGAAAATAAGAATAATATGTATTCACGAACATTGGCATGAAATGATATTTTTGTATGAGCTTTTGGTAATAATAATTGTACCAAAATTTATGTAGCGAAAAAGAAAAGCAGGGGCAATGATGTAACCTTCGGAGTTTAGTCGATCCATGACTAAAGTCCTTCATAGTTGTCCTGTTGCTATTTATATCATCATGGCTTTGACGTT